TCCCCGGAAGCAGCAAAGATTTGAACATAACTGAGACGATATACATGTCATTGTTGACAACTAGGTTCTTAACATAGGAAAATTTTAATTTTCCACTTAACCAAAGAGGTAGACATTTTTCTGCTTTGTTCCATGCGAAAACTTTCATATAAGGAATTAGCAGATAGTACCATGCATATTTGCATTAATACGAATATTGATTGGTATTTGTAAGTGTTGTTAAAAGTTATTAAAACATAACTAGTTATTAGTTACCGTTATATTTCAAAAGTAACTAGTTATATTATAATAACGCATTATTTATTTACTGAACGCATTTATTTAATATAAAAAAATTATGATATACAAATTATAATTAATTATTTTAAAAAATCTACAATTTCTTTATATAAAAAAATAATTAAACCGAAAAATAATATCGGAAAATAGAATATATTTAAACGTTTCCCTAACTTTCATATAAAAAACCTTTCATATAAATTGCGACTGAGAATAATTGCGACTTTTTTTATGATTGGTTGTGATAATTGCGACTTTATACACATTGGTTATAAAAAATTAAACGTATTTATAATATATATTTAAAAAATCGTGATTTTTGGAAAGCCTCTATGGCCTAGTAGGCAAGATCTTGGCTTACTTATCCCATGGTCCCGGGTTCGAATCCCGGGAATGGTCATGTTTTTTTTCCGTATCACGTCAATACCGCGAAATGTATTATCGCGAATGCATTATCGCGAATGTCGATTACCGCGAAAAGATATTATAGCGAATGCATTATCGCGAATGCATCATAGCGAATGTATTATAGCGAATATATTAGCGCGAACGCATTATAGCGAATGCATTACCTCGAAAACATTATAGCGAATGCATTACAGCGAATGTATTATCGCGAATGTATCATAGCGAATGTATTAGAGCGAATACATTTTACAGCAAATGCATTATCGCGAATGCAATATCGCGAATGCATTACAACTAACATTCACAATGCAATAGTGGTTTATATTTGACAAAATTATATTTAACCCATTTATTAAGTTCCAAAAAACCAGAGAACCAGCTTAATTGTCTATATTTATTTAGCGTTTTAAAATTATTTACCTCTAAAACACGTCACTTGTTATTCATGAAATTCGTATTTTATTAAAAAATATGTGGAATTTGGTATACTCAATTTTTTTAACGAATAGATTAAGTCGTTTTTTACAAAAGACCCTATTAATAAAAATTTTAATATTTTATATTTTAAGATTGATTCTAGTAAAAGTTAATTTTTGCCCCAACAAGCCCCAAACCCCAGGCTTGTAGATTATATTGGTTTATTAAGTCTCCTATAGGATAATTGTTATTATCAATAATACACCATTTGTATATAAATAATTCATAAAAAATTTCAAAATGTGATATTTTATTTTAAAAAATGTTTAAGTTTTAATGAATTTTTTAATTTTTTTTCTAATTCTTTTGATTATCAACCACCAGAAAAGGTGAAAGTTAAAGGGGAAAAAATAGAATTTAAAGCTATAATAGCCAATGAATACTTATTATATCATATTTTTAAGCATAATATAATTAATTCAACTTAATTCTACTAGCCCCTAGTTACTGATATGATTAACCCTTTCCAGCGCTAAAAAAATATGTTGATAATTTTTTAAATTTTTTAAATAAGATTAAATGAAGGGGAACATTGGATTGAGACCTCTATCTTATTAAATCTTTTGTAATCGTCAAAATTATTAATACATATCATAAAACTAATAGAGCTGAACAAAATGAGATATTTTTTATTAAAAATGATAAAGTACTTATAATTTTCTTAAGGTTTGCCTTTAGGGTTCGGCATAACCCCGTTCTCCCCTACATGTTTTCAATAAATTTAAAAAAAAAAACTTGATGTTTAATATTTAAAATGATTAGATGAAAAAGATAAATCTATTTCATTAAATCTTTTTTATATATTTTGAGTCAAAAAAAAGAAAAGCCTTAGCCTTAATTTCAATAAAAAAATGTTTTTAGAACCAATCCCCATTAACTTAATTTTCAGATTCAACTAAGTCAGTCGAAAAGTCGATAAATATAAAATTGTAACTTTCATGAAACTCCATTCGCGATATGATAATGCATTCGCTATAATGCATTCGCGATAATTCTTTCGCTAAAATGCATTCGCTATAATGCATTCGCTATAATGGATTCGCTATAATGCATTCGCTATAATGGATTCGCTATAATGCATTCGCTATAATGTATTCGCGATAATTCATTCGCTATAATACATTCGCTATAATGCATTCGCGGTAATATATTCGCGATAATGCATTCGCGATAATTCATTCGCTGTAATATATTCGCTATAATACATTCGCGATAACATTTTCGCGGTATTACATTCGCGCTAATACATTCGCTATAATATTTTCGCGGTAATGCATTCGCTATATTATATTCGCGATAATGCATTCGCTGTAATGCATTCGCTATAATATCTTTTCGCGGTAATCGACATTCGCGATAATGCATTCGCGATAATACATTTCGCGCTAAAATTTTCGCGGTATTGACATGTAACCTTTTTTTCTTATTCTAACTTGGTAGTCCCATCCTTGAGGGGATAATATATATAGGAAGCCGGACTCGACCACGTGATTCCGTATTAATATATTAAATAATAAGAGTTTTACATTTTAATAAATTTTGGTCGGTATTTAGCAAATTAGGTTGGTATTTAGAATATTTCCATACATTCACTCATTAACCATATAAAGTGACTAATGATAATGCACGGTAAGCGTGCACTATTTTTTTCATGTTTTTCATAAATTAACAAGCACGCCAAAATACGTCATATATTTATTTTATGTAAATAAATAAATAAAATTGCGAAAGCTCTCGTTTATAAATGTTCATTTTATAATTATTTTATTTGAATAACAGAAATACAAAATGGATACTCATCAATATTAAAAGTAATTGTATTTATATACTTACAATAATGACTTTATATTTAAAATTTAATGAAACAGGTTATTTCGCAATTGAAGGTCTCTAATATTATCCTTGAAAATTAGATATTAGCCAATACTTTGATAGCCAAGCATTTTTATCAATTTATATGTTACCTATTTAAATTATACGTTAGAAAAATTCTATTTTTAACAGCTATCTATAGTGTTACTCTTACTACTATTGCATAAATGACTTATTCACTCAAATATTGCTGACTGAGATAAAAAAATTCAATACCATAATAATAAAATAATTTTTTAGATTAAACATTATCATATTATTATATTCAAAATAAGGCTTCTATTTAGCAAGCGACAAGAAGTATACGCAGAAATAAACAATAATATTGACAGGATTAACAAATTGTTATAAAGTATTCTCTTTTTGCCAAAGAATCTGATTTATATTAAATACACAAAGGCCCTTTTGAAATTTTTTTGTTTTAAAATGTAGCTTTTGTTTTGATCCAAAGAAAAATTTATATTTTTTATAGTCAAAAAAGAAATAAACAACTTTTCATTATAATGTGAATTCTCATAGCAGATTTGAATATGAATATTTTTTTAAGCTTATACCATACTAGATTCTTATGGATGAGCATCAAAGCAATTTTTATTTAGACAATATAACTTCTACAAGTCAGATAAATTTAGAGAACAATATTTTTAAGAATATATTTACTATTGACTTGAAATGTAATTATTAAAAGTTTTACCTAAAATTTTTATCTTATATATATTCTATAATCTATTTAATAGGTTGGGGCTCAATTTGAATCATTTAATGATTTGCAGGTATAAAGATAGCTAATTTTATTTAATACTTTAAGAAACAAATATTTTTATCAATTTATATGTTGTCTAAGAATATGCATAAATGAGATAAAAATAATTCCCAATGAATCATAACATATTTTAGTCAGTTTGATTTAATTTCATATATGATCACTCAGAGGTTGATTTTATTTTTTCTGCATGTATTTTATCAAAAACAGTAGAAATAACCTGAGACCTTAAAATTTTGCTCACTGATGAAAATTCACTAATAAATTTTTTTTTCTTCAAATAATTTAGGCTTCCAAATTATTCCAAAGAATCTTGAAATCATAGTAGCTAATATAAGCTTCTCTAATTTTATTTAATTCTATTTTTAACAGCTATATAATTACTCTTACTACTATTGCACAACTGACTTATTGGCTTAATCACTGATTGAACTAAGTTAAATATTATCTACCCATTTTGGATTTCAATTTAAAATAAATTTTATAATTCAATCCTAAGTTGTTTTACTTCTTATACTTATTGGTTAAAATATTTCAATTAAGTTAAGTTAAAAATTCAATACCATAAACACTATAATAAAATAATTATTTAGATTAAACAATGTTTATTATCATTTTATTATATTCAAAATAAGGCTTCTATGTAGCAAGTGACAATATAGTCAAGAAGTATACAATAGAAATAAACAATAACACCTCCATATAATACCCAAATGCCCTTTTAAGGGCCAGTTAAAAATTGTAGAAGAAAAAGAGTTTAAAGATAATAAAACATTAAGCTTGTTTCCATCAAAGGAGAAATTTATATTTTATAAGTCAAATAAAAAGAATAAACAACTTTTCATTTTAATGTGAATTCTCCTGATATAATTATGGAATAAATATTTTAAATTATCATAAATTTTATTTGAATTTAATATCACCTTTGGTTCAATTTTAACTATATTTCTTTATCTTAATTTTATTCTTAGCACATAAATTAAACTATCAAAAGTTTATAAAAATGATAGTATTCTTAAATCTTATTAGAAAATTTTTATTTTCATTGTTTTGCAAACTTGGCCTATATTTTGATCAATTCATTTGCAAATCCTATAATCTTGCCTTATTTTCCAAAATATCTTTAATTTTTTTATATCTTACCCTTCTAAATAGCCAAAATAACATGAAGCAGCCCAGAAAAAGTTTCCCTGTTCTTTATTATTGCATTATTTAGAAGTGACTCAATAAAACAAATATTTTTCTATAATTTATAAAAAAATAATATTTGTACTATTGATTATATAAAAATTAATATTAAATATTTTATTTAAAAAATGATAACGTTCTAATTTGATTTGAGCTTGTAGATATATTCCCAACTTTCACAAAAGAAAAATTTGAAGTTGGGACATTTGTGGTGTTATTTAATGGTAATGTCAGTTTGGGCATATTATTTGGTAAAATCCCTTAAAGAAATAAATATTAAATATTATAAACGTGATCTATTACTAAAAGGATTTAATGGCCTAATACTAGTTCCATGTGGTAGTACTAAAATAAAATAATCAGGAATATATAATAAAAGTTATTTACAGGAACTGTGGAGTACATTGTTTGTTTTCGCAGAAGTATCCTCTGGTAATATCTTTTTTTGTAATTGATTTGTATTTAATAGAGGCCCTACAAGAAAAACATCAGATAATAATATAATTAAGTAATTTCATTACTAAAAGAATCTTTTTGTCTATCATAATCACAAGAATGGATAACTATATTCTTATCTGATAAGCCAGCAGTGTGCTTTTTAGCATTAGCACATCCTAAAAATAATATATATATATAAAATTAAATAAGTTTATTTAAAAATCTAATTTAACAATATATAATAACCTATAAATGTTTGCTGGTAGAATCTTGAAAATATATAATGCATTATAAAAAAATACTTGTGTTTTCAGAAAGAGTTTGCAAGGGTTTACTATTTGTGAAAATTTTTATTGATGAGGGAAAACTAGTACCTAAAAAAATATATATTGTAAAGATATAAAAATTTTTTTGCTTTTCATATAAACAATATTTGCTTTTAGCCAAAAAAAGTGATATCAATGTAACTCTAAAATATATAACCTTTCATATCTACCATATGCTTAAAGTTGTGATTATTTTTTTGTCCATTATATTGATGTTATTTATTTGTTTTTCTTTCATCACTTTAACTTTTCACAAATAATATAAATAAATTTAAAGATCAAACCTTTTCTCATATTTTTAGCATCTTTGCGTCTTTTCAAATATCCAGGACTCATTTTTTCTGGCATTTCAATATTTTTAATATTATTGAAATTGATTTCTACTTCACTAACTTGTTTCAATGGATGTTTTTGTTCGACATCTTTTATATATCAGGAGCTCAGAGTCTCCTGGTAGATATAATATTTTCTTTTTTATATTGTACAAATCCCGATTTGTTGTGTAAACTCCTTTTTGTTGGAGGTCATGCTGCTTCAGTAAGCATTTTAATAAATTAGAATCTAAATTAATAATAAAATGGTATTACATTTGATAAAAATATATACCCAAATCATGATTATGATCAGAATTCATTTTTGTAACCTCAAGCATATGTCTTTTTTCTTTTATTATTGCTTAACTGAGAAACTATTTTGGCAATTTTTTTGCAATGTTTGGGTAAGTCATTTTCCTTTCCCACAACTTTTAAATTTTCTTCCACCATGAATGTAGACATAACGTATGTATTTATAAATCATTGTATGAATAATTTTTTGATCAAAATTGGTAAGTTTAGTACATGTCACTATATGGTAATTTGTATATACTATATTCTCATATCTATTTATAGCTTCCTGCAAATCATTAAATGATTCAAATTGAGCCCCAACCTATTAAATAGATTATAGAATATATATATATATATAGATAAAAATGTTAGGTTAAAACATTAAATAATTGCATTTCAAATCAATAGTAAATACATTCTTAAAAATATTGTTACCTCTAAATTTATTTGACTTGTAGAAGTTATATTGTCTAAATCAAAAAGATCAAAATTGCTTTGATGTGCATCCATAAGAATTTAGTATGATCAATGATATTGTAACTATATAAATACAATATACTTTTAAAATTTATAAGTATTCATTTTCATTATTTCTGTTATTCAAATAAAATAATTATAAACGAACATTTATAAACGAGAGCTTTCGTAATTTTATTTATTTCATTCATTCATTCATTACCACGCCATTCATCACCCACCAGGAGTTGTAGCGTGCACCATGTATATTCACTAGTATATAGATCCTATACATGATGTATACCCGTTTTATTATAGTGGACGGTACCACTATGTAGTCAGCTAGCATAGTAAAGAAGAGAGGAGTAAGAAAGAGGGGATCTATTAGTTCCGATACCGGCAAAATAGTGTTAAGAATTGTAGCTAATATTAATAATAATGAAAAGGTTGCAGAAATCAAAGGCAGATATCAAATGTTATAAACGTATATTACGTCAATTTATTGATATTTAAATTTAAAAAATATAATGATCACATAATTCAAAATAGTTTCCTATATATATTGACAATTTAATTTAATGTAGTTTATAATAAATTGATCTTTTTTAAGTTAAAATAAAAAATTGAACATTAGTTTATTAAGTAAATTGATTTATAAAATATAAAATTTAATATTAGTTTATAAACAAATTGATTTTTAAAATATAAAAGTTGTTTTTAACAAAAAGAAAAAAACAATTCTTATTACATTTGAAATATATTAAGTTACGCCATAAATAGCTTAAGGATGTAAAAAAAACAATTTTTTAAAGTTAAGATAAAATACATGAGTGTCACTGTTTAACATAACAATTTTTTAAAGTTAAGATAAAATACATGAGTGTCACTGTTTAACATTTCACACTTTTTTTTTTTATTTTTTATTTGCGCTCTGTCTATAATTTTGTCGTTTGTCATTCTTGCTCGTTAACCCCTTCGTTGATCTTTTTTTTGTTGTACGTTTTATCTATTTAGTTCCACACACAAAAAAACTAATTTTGTTTTAATATAAGGAAGAGGAAAAAAAAATTTATTATCAAATTTAATTCATTATAAAATTTTCAAATTTTCTAGGCAACACACTATTTCTAACTGGTCTTTGAACGTTGCGATTCTGATCATTCACTTGTACATTTTGGTTTCTTAGTTCATCACCTCCCCTTCTAAAATTCAATGTATAAGGTGATGCATTATTATTAACATTCGCTTTAAAAACTGTTGCACCATTAGAAGCAAGTTCTACATTAGTTGATCTTTTTTTATTTGGTCCAAGTGTCTTTTTATAATTTTGTTCCCAGTATCTATATCATACAACAAATTTCCGTTTTTGCGCATTATTGTACCTTTTTCCCAATTATTATCTTTAAAAGTTTTATACCATATGCTGTCTCCTATTTCTATATCCCTATCTATTGATATCTTGCGATTTAGTATATGATCTCTTTCATCCCTCGGTTTTATCAACTCCCATTTTGTCCTAATCATTCTGGAGAACATTACTTCGCTTGGTATTTTGTTGGTCGTTGCGTTGGGTGTATTACGATAATTAAAAAGAAACTTTTCTAGAGCTATGTCTACGTCTATTTTATTATTATTATATTCCTTTTCATATTCATTTTCATTGATCTAATCATACGCTCACATTGGCCATTGGACTGTTGGTGGTGAGGTGCGGTGAGTAAGTGTTCGATTTCGTGATCTTCGCAAAATTTCTTAAATAATTTACTGGTAAAGTTAGTTCCATTATCACTGACTATTCTATTAGGTATACCAAATAAACTTATTATTTTCATCAATTCTTTAATCGTTGATTCCGTAGTTGTGTTTCTCATTCTCCTAATAATAGGAAATTTGCTGAAGGCGTCAACACATACCATAAAATTATTATCTTTGAACTCTGCAAAGTCTATGTGTACGCGCTCGAATACTTTCGTTGCTGTTTCCCATGGGTTTTGAATATTATGAGGATTGTCTGCGTATTTATTGCAAGCATCGCAATTCTTTACCTCCTGATCTATTTCTGCATTTAAACCAGGCCACCACAGATACTCTCTCGCTAATGATTTTGTTTTTCCAGCACCGAGATGCCCATTATGCAACTCTTGCAAAATCTCTTTTCTCATACCTTTCGGTATTATGATCCTATTCTCTTTAAAAAGGCAACCTTTGATTAAACTCAATTCCAATATCATATTTTTATACGTTTTGTTCTTTATCTGCTCATGATTCCTTATATCGTTGATTACTTCCATTAGTTCTTGATCAATATTAGTTTCTTTAACTATTCTTTTAAAATTTATTGGTGTGTCCCAAAAATTGTCATCAATTATTTCGTCATCTAACTTTTGTACCATCTCTTCTGTATTCATTAGTGGTAATCTGGACAAACAGTCTGATACAATATTTCGTTTCCCGGGTCTGTGAACTATCGTAAAGTCATGCGCTCCCATAGCCAAGTTCCATTTTTGGAGTCGCATTGATATGGAAGAATTGTCCTTGAGTCCCTTCGTAAATATATACACGAGTGGCTTGTGGTCGGTAATTATTACAAATCTTGTGCCTATTAAATACTCCTGGAATTTTTTAACCGCGTAAATTACCGACAAAGCTTCTCTTTCGATATTGGTATAATTTAACTCTGATTTCAATAGTGCTCTTGACGCGAAAGCGATGGGTTTTTCTTTGCCATCACTCTCAATATGAAATAAGACTGCTCCTAAACCTTTCTTTGAAGCATCAGTTGCAATGCCCACTGGTAGATCCGGGTTATAAAAATTTAACGTAGGCGGAGTGCTTATGAGTTTTTTTAGGTAATCAAAGCTTTCTTGATGTGTACTATTCCATGACCACTTGTCTTTATTTACTATTTTGTATAAGGGATCGGCGATGTCAGCAAAATTGCACAGAAATTTTCGATAATAGCTCGCCATCCCCAAAAAAGTTGCCAACTCTTCTTTTGTCTTAGGTTCCGGCATATTAGAAATAGCCTTTATTTTATCTGCGTTCGGATGGATTCCATTGTCGTCTATATTGTGACCTAGAAACCGTAGTTTTTTTTTCAAAAATATACTCTTTGTGAAGTTTGGTGTAAGCCCATACTTTGATATTTTGTCAAATACCATTTTTATGTTGTTCACGTGAACTTCATCATCCTCCCCAGTAATCAATAAGTCATCAATATAAAACACGACGTCTTTCATGTTCCCGAAAATATTGTCCATGGTTTGTTGGAATATTGCTGACGAAGTTTTTAATCCAAACGGAAGTCTTGTAAACCTGAAATAGCCTTTATGAGTTGAAATAGTGAGAAAATCTCTTGATTCTTTGTGTATTGGAACTTGAAGAAATGCATTTTTAAAGTCGATCTTTGTAAATTTCTTGCCTTTCGATAACTTTGCCATAAGGTCATTGATGCGTGGAATTGGGTACTTGAAATCCTCTAACGCAGGATTAATAGTATTCTTGAAGTCAGCACATAGCCGAATTGAACCATCGCTCTTGACAACAGGAGTGAGAGGACTGGCCCATCTTACCTCTTCAACAGGTTCGATTATTTTGTCGCTTATCCACTTCTGTAGTTCTTTTGTAACCAAGTCAATTCTTGAATAAGGTACACGCCTGGGAGGTATGATTTTCGGTGTAGCACCTTGTTTTAGATGTAGTTTGACATAATTGCGTAGTATTGGTTTCTTGCTAAGTTTTGACTCGCATTGTTTGATCAGTTCTTGAATAGTATTGTCATAATCTTCTTCGACTAAGTTTACAAATCTATCTAGTATATTTCTAAAGACTGCTATCCAGGTCCTTCCTAACAGTGCAATCTTATCACTCTGGACTACATAAGCAGTTAAGATTTGACTTTTGTCTTCGAATTTTGCCTTGACTTTGGTAGTTCCTAAAACATTTATTGTGTTTCCATCATAACCAGTTAATTTAATATCTGATTTATTTAAGATTTTTACTCCAATCTTTTTCGCGATATGAATTGGTAGAATACTATACCTTGGCCCGGTGTCGATCTGCATCAAAATAGGCATGTCGTTCAAATATACCGTGACCTTATAAACATCGTTAGCTGTGTAATTATTATCGGTATCTATATTGTTTATGTCTAAATTGTCTAAATTGTATAAATTATATTCTTTTCTTTCTAGTTTGTCATTATCATCTTCTTTTATCTCTTCTATATTTACAGTGTTTACTTTATTTGTATATCGTGATTGATTATTGTCGTTGTTATGATATTTACAATTGCATACTTGATTAGTTCCTCGATTTCCAATATTATGATTATCGTTATATCTTTGAATACATCTTGAATCGTTATAATGTCTGTTATATCTGTAATTATAATCATTATTAAATCTATTATTATTATAGTCATTTTTATTATAACTAGCTCTATTATCAAATCTCGAAGAATTATTGTACGATCCTGGATAGTTTGCTCTGACGTTGTAATAATTCGCGTTATAATTCTGATATCTAGGGTTGTAATTATTTCCTTGGTAACTGGGGTTATAACTATTTCCTTGATAAATATTTCTTTGAAAGTCATGGCCTCTTGCTGTCCATCGTTGTCTGTTATCGTTATTCGATCGTGGATTATGTCTATGGTCGTATCTGACCACCTGTTTGTTTTCTTCAACTTTTATGCCTCTTTGTCTTTCCAAATGTTTTACGCTTGTTTCTTCTTCAGTCTTTTCACTTAAAGAAATGTTTTTAACTTTAGCTATTATATTTTCTTTTAATTCTGTCTCCTCAAAATCATCTCTTAAACTAAAGACTTCTGCTAACGTAATATTCTCTTTCAACGTAATTTTTTGCCTGATACTTCTGCTATTTGATGAAATTTTTACTTTTTCAATGACTCTACTATCGGTTAACGAACATTCATTTTGTAAAATGCATAATCTACTTACCCAATTGATGTAACTTTCATTTTTACCTTGTACAGCTGCATTGAATAATAACAATTTCGAACTTGTAGATTTCCTCAGGTGTAATAACCTAAATTTTTCAATCAATATCGATGGATTGATGAAATCGGTAGGTGAACATATTGATTTGAGCTTGATGTATTCTTCGTCTGGTAGTCTTCTTGTGAAGGATCCTGCTTTTTCGATATCAGAGATCTGAGCATCGTTGAATATGTCTTCGAAACGACTTAGAAAAACATCGCCATTACCTGTGTATGTTGGAAATTCAATATTAATATTAACGTTATTATTTGAGGTCTGTTTCATAATTATAATTTACAATATCCTTGAATTTTTCTATTTTATAGTATTGGATTTTATAAAAATTTTAAGAAGTTAATTTATATTTAATATTTTAGAAAATTTTAATTTAGGATGCTGCCACCGCTGCCACCATGAAAAGATTGCAGAAATCAAAGGCAGAAATCAAATGTTATAAACGTATATTACGTCAATTTATTGATATTTAAATTTAAAAAATATAATGATCACATAATTCAAAATAGTTTCCTATATATATTGACAATTTAATTTAATGTAGTTTATAATAAATTGATCTTTTTTTTAAAGTTAAAATAAAAAATTGAACATTAGTTTATTAAGTAAATTGATTTATAAAATATAAAATTTAATATTAGTTTATAAACAAATTGATTTTTAAAATATAAAAGTTGTTTTTAACAAAAAGAAAGAAACAATTCTTATTACATTTGAAATATATTAAGTTACGCCATAAATAGCTTAAGGATGTAAAAAAAAACAATTTTTTAAAGTTAAGATAAAATACATGAGTGTCACTGTTTAACATAACAATTTTTTAAAGTTAAGATAAAATACATGAGTGTCACTGTTTAACAAATAATAATGTACCTGACACCTGGTTAGATTTAAGAGATGGGAAAAAAAATTTCTTAATGTTTGGTAAGTATATCCTTGGAAGATAACGCAATGTCTATATAACATGTCCTATTCCTGAGGTATTCAACTTCTCTGTAATTGTAATCTCACTTCCTGAAAGTCTCTTGTCCTAAAGAGCTTGTTGTCTTCGTCTGATTTATTCCTTCTTTTATCCTCAATCATTTGTCATTCTAAGTCAAAAAGTATCCCCATAGATCCTTGTCTGTATTAAGCAAGCGTTGCTCGGAATCCAAGTTATTCACTATTATCATTATTATATTGAGCCTGGAGATCGTTATCATTATTAATATTCATGGTTTTAAGATTATCATTGACTTCGTCAAAAATCGTTTATCCAGTAGGGAAAGGAAAAAGGGTGTTATAAAGGGGAGGGGGAAATTTAAAAAAAAATAAATATAAAATAATAAAATAATAATTATACTTATCTCATCTCTCTTTTTTTTTAAACCATAATTCCTATTGCGCCAAAACATAAGTTGTCATTAGACTGGGGATAAGAGATTGGAAATAAGGCAGTGCGAGAAATAGTCTGATACTTCCACGATTCCTGCTCTAGTTTAAACCATATTTAAGCATGTATTGTAGATGTTCCTTTAAATGTTTCTTGTTTTTGCTGTGTGCAAGAAAATCTATAAACGTAAAATTGATCAAGTCCATGTCCTTCAGACATTTTGCCAGCCAATAGTATTTGGGGATTCTTCGCCTTTCATAATCCGGGGTCCACTCCATGGGCGAAAATATCATATTCTCTCGTGAATGTCTTAAGCAGTGGCCTAGTAATTCTAATCTCCTCAAAGGAATGAGTCGTTTGATAGGTAGGATGTTACACCTGTTCCAGAGAGTTGTGTTTGGGGTGTTGTATGGATAGTAAGTTTTAGTGATTCTTCTTAAGCACTTGTTTATGAAGGTCTGGGATGTGTTGATGTTGCTTTTAGTGTCCTGCCATGTTTCCAACCCGTATGTTAATATGGGTAGAATTAGGGATTTAAAGAGTCTTATTTTTAGGTTCGTAGATATCTGGTTGGACGACCATAATTTAGTTAGCTGATGATATCGGGATCTGGCCTTGTTGGTCCTCGACTTAGTATCCAAAATGGTGGTGCCTAATGACATTATTCTGGTTCCTAGATACTTAAAATCCGAGACCGTATCTACCACATTATCCTCAAAGTTAAAGGGGTCGCTGTTATATAGAAGGATATTGGATACAATTAACTTTGTCTTTGAGTAGTTGACTTTCAGTCCGTATCCAAAGCAATTTTTGACAAACAATGACAGCAAGTTTCTTAATTTGTACTCAGAGTTAGCTAATATGCATACATCATCGGCATAGCAAGAAAATTTAGAGAGTTGTGTAAGTTATTATCATATTGTTGATTCAGATATCGAGGGTTAAGAGCATGTTCTTGTTTGAAGGATTTATTCAGAATATCGTTCATTATTACATTAAATAGCATAGGTGATAAAATGCATCCTTGTTTCAGTCCTCTGTTGGCCTTAAATGGTTGTGATTTTAAGTTCAGATGTTGTGGTATCACGTTATGATTATCGTATATTATTTTTATAAGCGAAATCAGATGTTTATCTATTCCTATGTCCTCCAGTAAGGGCCAGATCTTATGCTGTATGATAGAGTCAAAGGCTTGACTTAGATCATTCATTAGAGCAAATATTGGGGACTTATGCATTCTAGCTTTCTCCAGAATAACCTTAAGCGCCATGGTTAGTTCCGTCGTGTTCCTGCCCTTCCTATATGATGTGATGGCGTTTGAGAGGTTTCTATCGATGATTGGTTTAATCCTGACGGCTATAATATACGTGAACTTTTTTAGGGGAACTGGGATCAGTGCAATTCCTCTGTAGTCCTTCAGGATAGTCGGGTTCTTATTTTTAGGGAAATTAAGTATTATCGAGGTCATCCATTCCTCTGGGAAATTGCCAGTATTCCATATCTCAGCAGTAGACTAGCACTTAAATCAGCATCTATCTTCCAAAGTTCCGCAAAAATCCCATCGATTCCGGCTGCTTCATGGGTTTTTAGTCTTTTAATGACATTGATTATATCTATTCTGTTTTATTTATTTATTTATATAAAAATAAATATATGACGTATTTTGGCGTACTTGTTAATTTATGAAAAACATGAAAAAAATAGTGCACGCTTACCGTGCATTATCATTAGCCTATAAAGTCGCAATTATTTATATGAAAGGTTTTTATATGAAAGGTTTTTATATGAAAGTTATCATATTAATTTGCATTAAAACATATTTATTTTTCATAAAAATTTGAGTTTAATAAATTTTTATTTGTTTTTAACAACAAATTGATTTCAAAATTTTTATCTAAGAGACGCGCTCGTTTCTCTCCAAAAATGAGCTTCCTTAGACTGAATAAACGCTCTACGGGACGATGTAAGGATAACAATATATTTAATAAAAAGTATATTTAAATTTGGGAAATCATCTATAAGATAATGTGTTATTATCGGATTTTATAAAATTTTCTATAAGTTTTTTATCAACAATATTTTGTCGCTTTAGGTCAAAAAATCCAATTACACCAAATGATATTGGTTTCGAACATGATTCATTTGTGTGAGATTCACCTTGAGGTATTAGAATATTTAATAAACTTAAAATTTCCTTCTTTTTTGCTCTATTCCTTTTTTGCCTTATCCAAGGGCATTCAATTTTAACTAATGGATGAAGAATTGGAACAATAATGGTATCATTTATCAATATCAAAAAGATCAATAAACCTATATATTATAAATTCATAAATAATTATTTAATTTAAGTTACCTTTTTTTAATACTAGCATATATAGCATCCTAAGGTAGACAATATTTTAATCCTTGCACATCTTCCAGACATATAAGTATCTGAGTTATTGATGGGGTATAATAACCCAGATACATGTATTTTTCACTTTCGAGTATATTAATAGCTTTAGTCACTGGTTGCATAATCTAATTTTTAAATTGCAAATTTTTTATAAGGTATTAATTTAAATTTACACTACATTTAATTATCACATAAAAAATCAAATTCTTAGGCATTTCATTTAAAAAGTGATAATATTTTAGCAAGAGATTTATAAAAGGAACATCATCTTGTTATAACGTGCCAGGGTTGCCAGATGTCACGATTTAGCCGTGATTCTCACGATTTTATGCCTAATTTTTTATTTGATCATGTTTTCTCACACTTAACGCTTTTCTCACGTTTTTTAAGTAAATTAAAATAATCACACTTAGTCTCACACTTTTTATTACAATATTTTTAAAAAAAATATTAAACTTTAAATTAATTTTATTTTAAAAAGTTGTAGTATTTGTTAATAGTCAAGCTAACCAATCATATTCATTGATCAATATTTAATTTCCCATGAACATATAAACAGGTATGGAGTTGATTATCCACAAATTCAATTTAAAGATAGTTTATCAAGTAAAATGAATTTAAATAACTATATATTTCTTTTATGGTTATAATTAGCAATGTAAATAGTCCAGAAAACTAATATTATTCATTGATCAAATTTCCCATGAACATAAATTTATAAACAGATATTGAGTACCCACAACGCAAATTTAATTTAAAGAAAGTTTATCAAGTAAAATGAATTTAAATAATTTCTTTTATGGATTTTATAAATCTTGGCATTGAAGCTCGTAAAATTTTAAATGAAATAAATTAATTGTACATAAACTCTCAAATTATAATTAACCTAATTTAACTTAGACAGTTGCTAAAGCTAATTAACAATCATAAGAAATATCTAAAAACATTAATTGCTAGAGAGTTGATTAATTAGATTCAGAATCATTTTTATAAAATAATTAAGTAAAATTAGGTTATAATAAAGGCAATATATATTCAGTTGATCAGATTATAAACTTAAACATATTTTTAAAAAATGCTAATTTATGATTTGATTTATTCTGTATCTTCCAAATTAAAAATATATAAGGAAGCTCATCCTCAAGTATAATTCTCAAGATGGAAAATTGAAACATAAACAAAGAAAAAAGAGGAAAATATATTAAGGTAAGTTATAATAAAAGTTGGGAACAAAAATATGAATGGTTAAAACAGCATTCAGGGTCGACTGTAGAATGTAATATATGTGTATCACGCTTTTCAATAAGTGGAGAGTATGATATAATCAAACATATGAAAACTAACATATATCAGCTGGCAAATGAACAATCTAGAACCAATACTTATATACCTTTATACGCAACCAAATATTCTAAGAATGAAACCTTGTCTGTTATTGCTGTAACAACCTATATATCATTCCATAAAGCAATAGCTATATGCCGGCTAATTGTTCAAGCAAGCTATTTTACACCGTTTTTCCTGATTCAATACTATATTACTAATAATTGATCTGATATTTATATTGATTTTTATATACTATCTATCTTTGTATCAATGTCATAAATATATCTTATTTGGAAAAATGGTTACAGGCTATAAATAGGAAAAATTTTATGCCTAATAAATATAGTATTATTTGTGGAAGGCATTTTAAAAATACTTGTTTCATTCATACTTTATCCGGAAAGATTTTATTGAAGGAAGATTAAATTCCATCGATATTTAGTATATCTAAGCCACTTCATGATGTATGTTAACAATATCATTACATAGTTAAAACAATATTTTAAAATATATACTTTTTAGATAACTAATGTTTATTCAAATAACATACAAACACCATTAAAAAGTCATATATTATATGAAAATGATCCAATTATACACATAACAAATGATCATAATTATTCCGCAACATATGAAACATTAAAAAGAAAAATTATTTACCAAGAGGCTATAATTAAACGCTTAAAAAAAGGGCACATGCTTATTATAGGAGCTCAAAAATAGAAAAAAATAAAATAATCAATTTACAAACAATAATCACTTCACTAAAAGATGAAAATTTGTTATCAGATGATGTCGAAAATATTATAGACAGGCACTTTACAGGGACATCTTCAATATTCCTTAAAACACATACACAGTGGAGGCATCTCAAACCCACAAAAAAGTATATACAAGTGAATTCCGTCAATTTGCATTGACTATGCATTTTTATTCACCTAAGGCTTACAGATATCTCAAATCACACTTTTGTATGCCTTCGGAATCCACATTAAGGGCATGGAGTCGCAAGATTGAAATCATGCCAGGTTTATTATAATAATTTTTAAAAATTAAATTAAATAAAAGTTTCCTTTCTATTTCATTTACCCAAATTAAAAGCTACCAAAAAAAATCAGAAAAGCAGTTGTATTGTGTACTTAGCTTTGATGAAATGCATATTAAAACTCAAATAGATTATGACCCCCACAAAGCAGAATATCATGGTTATGTTGATTTAGGTGATGGGACAAAATCAACAAAAGAAGAGAAATCTTGTCCAGAAGCAACAAAGGCACTGTTTCTTATGGCTACCTGTCTTAATAGCAGCTGGAAAATGCCAATAGCCTATTTTCTAGTTTCACAAATGAATTCAGATATCCTAGCTAATTTAGTGAGAGTTGCATTGTTCAATCTAAATGAAACAGGAGTTATCTGTAAGGCCATAGTATGTGATGGTTGTGCTGTTAATAAAAAAATGAGCAAACTGCTTGGTGTTAGTATGGATCCTGATAATATCATTCCATATATTGAGCTGGAATTTTATGGATCTGAAAAAAATATATATGTTACTAGATGTTTGTCATATGCTCAAATTACTTAGAAATCTATTAGCGGAGTAGGAAATTTTAATAAATGAATCAAATGGAGAGGGAGCTAGCTATATTAAATTTGATTAAATATTTATTTTATAATTTATAGTTAATAGATTGGAAGCATATACAAAATTTACATAAATTGCAGGAGTGTGAAGGTTTACGTGCTGCAAATAAATTGCGCAAAGCACATATTGCTTTCCACAAACAAAAAATGAAAGATAATAAATATATAATTATTAAATATTTTTTAAAGGTAAAACTTGCTGTTCAAGTTTTTAGTGCATCTGTTGCAAATAGCCTTCTTTTTGCCCAGCATCAGGAGATTCCTGGACTTGAAAATTGTGATGGTACAATTAATTTTATATTGATGATAGATCAGTAAAATAAAAATAATGATATAAATTTATGAATAACTTATAGAATGTTTGATTATCTTAATACAAGAAATTGTCTTGGTAAAGGATATAAAGCCCCTTTATATAATAATACAATTGCAGAATATGAAAATCATTTTGACGAGTGCATTACAACTTTAAAATCACTCAAGTTAACAAATGGAACTTATGTCTATAAGTCTAATAAAAAAAACATGTGTAGAAGGGTTAATTCTTTCTATGAAAAGCATCCTGGAAATGGGGAAACCCCAAAAATGAAGTATTATATTTAATTTATAACAAGAGTTATTCATAAAACTATAATATAACAATTTTTTAAGGTTCTTTTTAACATATAAAACCTCTCAAGACCACCTAGAATTATATTTTTGTAGTATTCGTAGCAGAGGTGGATTTAATGATAATCCATCAGCATATCAGGTTCGATCTGCTGTTCGCATTTCATTAATGGCGAAATTGGATGCTACAATTACAGGAAATTGCATTTTCTTAGATAATACTCAATTAATATGTTCAAATTTTCAAAATAATCATGACGATGATTTTAATTCTATCAAAACTATTTCAAATCCAATAATACCCCAGGCATTATCTTATTATTTTAGCCAAAAAAATCCTCATATCCCGAAATTATCATTATATTTAGATAATGTAACAACTTATATTTCGGGATATATAGTACAACAACTTAGTAAAGAAAAAAAGGTACGATGTGATGTTTGCATTAATGCAATGGTCAGTGATTCATATATTGATAATAATATAAATAATATGCTCATAAATTTTAAAAATAATGGGGGGTTAGTGATTCCTTCTTCTTGTATGTCTATATTATGCTGAATTTGTAAAAGTTCATTTAGAACTTATCAAAATGATATTAAACGTAAAAATATTTTTAAAAAAATGGAAGTGTTGGTTTTTTCCACAATAATTGGCACAAATATTTTTATTGATCTTACTGAACATATTAATGAACATGAGATTGGTTACAGCCATTTTCAAATTCTTGTAAAATTAATTGTTCAAAGGTAATCATTAGTGTTGTTAAATTGCTTGGTTGGGTCGAATTAGCATGATTTTTGGTTAGGTTTTGGGTCAGGTTTTTGGTCGAAAAAATGAACCAAAACCAAAGCAACCAAATTGGTCGACCAAATTCATAGACCCGAGCACAGACGCGAGCACCAAACCAAATCAACTTATAATAATTTATTGTTAATTTGTTGCTCAATTTTATGCATAGAGGACGATATTTCAATAATAATCATTTTAAAATAATTGTATACTTATATTCTGAAAATTAAAAATTAGAGGACGAGTAATTCAATTTCATATTAATTAAATAATTGATATGGAATTCAAAATAATAACCTTCTAAGACCGGGAAAAATTTATTATAGGAATTTATCGATTTTTAGATATTTATAATTGATATATCATCGAAAAATGAGGATAATTTATGTTGATTTAATTCTTACGTTGTAAAAAATGGCTAAGCCTCAAACAGATTAGATATGCTGGCTCAGGAGTTGACATTAGTCATCTCAGGAGTTGACTCTACTTTAATTTTAAGCTGAAATGCATTTATTTGTTGTTTAACTCTAATTCGATAAGGGATATTACAAATTAATGTATAGCCTAAAATTGCCTTCCCATCAAAATATTTTTATATTTATCCAAAATATCCCTCTAGAGAGTAGTTCTAGCTGATCTTTGCTCACATATATCGATGAAAAGATCCTTCAGTGCACTACGAAGTAACCACATTACGAAATAAATTTGACAAATATACTTTAGACGATATTTTAATCATCAAACTTAATATAAATTTGTTAAACAACGTTATCTTTTTTGATATTCATTTTATTAATATTTGTGAATAATTTTATATTTGTCATAGAATAAATAAAATAATTTCAATGAAATTGTTATGACTTTTGATAGTTTTGAGGGAATTTTTACGGGTCATTAAATTAAAAGTAAATAAAATATAGATTTAATCACTTGACAAACCATGATATTTTTATTTTGATATATTTGCTTAGTCTATTTTTATAACACTTATTTTTTATGGATAAAAATAATCCCGGTCCGGTCTCCCGTATTAGATTGAAACAATCTAAGTTTTATATGATCAGATTAGCTTCTGCTTACAATTATTCCACACATAGCTCTTATAAAAACAAATTTCCAAACTTTTTAAATCGTCTAAAATTAATTAAAAACAGATAGGATGTACACACCATAAACTAGGTTTTGAAGATGATATTTGAATACTTTTTATCAGAGTTGGCAAGTCGGTCAATTGACCGTTCAATTTAAGTCAATCGACGGGAGGAGTATTTGACCTGGTTAAATACGATCAAATACTCCGAAATATTTTAAGTGATAAAATGAATTTCAAAAGTATAAACGGTTTAATAGTTAATTAAGGCAGTAATTTTTATAAGAAACAATCAATTCCCACCTAAAGTTAGTGGAATAAACTATGCCCATTAAGGGACTAATAATTCCTAGTTATAGTTTAAAGAAATGTCGATTTGGAATATTCTTACGAAAACAGAAATCGATTGAAGATTTCGACATCAGGAAAGATGGAGAGGATTTGATACCTTTGTCTAGATATTTTTTTGGAAAAATGTTTACCCCCACCCTCTCATGATTTAAACCACCAGAAGACATAGATTAATGATTAATTTGAAAACTCAAATAATCATGCTTCACTTAAAAATAAAAATATATAGTAAAAATTGCTGAGCTATATATTATATTTTCTAAGAAATTCAATTTTAAGAAAATTAAAATTTTTACTTGGCAACTTTTGAGAATTCAGTAAAAATTACTTTAAGTAGTAATTAAGGGGAAAATAATATATGTTAAAGCTTTAACCTGTATGTATTACAACAACTATGCAATATATATTGGCTTACGCTTCATAATTACTGCTTGTCCTTGTGGCTAACTTCGTTTAAGGCTACTTTTTAATATTAGATTCATACAAAATTTTTCAAAATATAACTAATATTTTATATCTAAATTAAATAGATAGAAAAGATAAAAAAAATATATCTATAAGGATCGCAAAATCATATGATTCAAAAATATTCTGGAATTGGGGAAATCCCTTTTAATTTAGATGTAATTGATTTTGAATCGCCATCAAAATCCGATAAAGACAGTTTAATGAGTAATGTTATAGTTTTTATTTTTATAATTGTTTTTGGTTA